TTTATCGATTGTCAACTTGATGGGGCTGAGTGAAAGCAAAATAGGCAATTGATGGGTATTTTCACAAATTGGAATGGTAAAGCAGACTTTTTTTAATTTTTTTTATATCAAAGGCCAAACGTGAGACAAATTTCCATCATTATTTAAAAGTGAGACATGATTTAACCAAAAAATAATAATTCTTAACAATAAAAGTTAATATGTGAAATTCTAATACTTTGTAACTTAATTTATGTCGATCCGTATGACCTAATACTTTCCATTTGTTATAACTTATATTTATTTTACCCTTAATCAATTCAAATGTTTTTTTTCGGAAATAAGCTTATCCTTAATATGAAGGATTTTGCACATAGATTACAACCTTTTGAACATACAATTAATTATAAAGGATTTATCATTAGTGAGAAATTTTACGTTTCATAATTGTGCACAGATAATGACAATTGGGCGACTGGAATGCAAATGAGACTACTTTGATTGTCAATTGCTTGACTAGAATGCAAATTACACTACATGTTTGTCAATTGCATTGACAAATCACATATTGTATTTACATTTTCAATTAATTGAGCACATATAATGGCAATTGCTCAACTGGATTGCAAATGAGACTACTTTCTTTGTCAATTGCACGACTGGAATGCAAATGGCACTACCTGTTTGCCAATTGCATTGACAAATCACATTATATTTACATTCACAATGTCGAATTCGATTCTCAACATTAGCTAAAATACAGATGATTAATGGATCAAGACATGATGGTATAAGATGCTAGGTTACACACCTGTTTCTCTAATTCTTCAGCAACATCCTCAAACAATTCTTTTGGTGTTGAACCAGAGGTATTAGATGCAACAGCTTCATACGAAGACAGGTCTTTAACCTACAATCCAAAGACAACACTTATCAAAAGTGCTTCAGATGCAGAAGCAATCAAACATTTGTCTTTTGATTTACTATGCAGCTCTTCTTCATATATTATCTCCACAACAACTAGAGTTGAGCACCTTCATGCAGTAATCGAGCCAGTGAGTTTTAGCTGTAAGAGTACCGTCGGCAACATGTTCTTCCATCAGCTTTCGAAACTCATCGCGGTTTTCCTCTCAACCCGCAACAATTGTTCCTTAAATTTAGCGAAACACAAAGATAAGAATATTGAACTAGAAGAAAGATAAATTATCATTTATATGGATTATACCTTTTGTACCTTATTTTGCTCCTCTTCTTCCTTCTCAAGGTCGCAAATATAGTCCTGCAACAACAAAAAAAACATCATATAGTTCTGGTACATGAACACAACCAATCTTCTCACACACATGATTGAACATAGATTATGTGATCTACCTGGAAAATGAGCAACCTGTCAAGTTTTTCAAGATGCAAGCATCTCTCATCATCCTCTCAGCGATCTTGAACTTTCCGCCACTGGCTGTTCACCTGCAAATGAATGATGATCATGACAAAAGGTAATAGATAAAACCAGTCATAATAAAATACATGTACACGTTCCTTTTACAAGGCTTACCTTAATAAAGTCACAAGATTCCAGGAATTTTCTATACTATGCGATATTCTGCTTATGCTCTTCAGCCGCCTTTTCTTTTTCCTGCATATAAGAATCGAAACCTAGGTAGTAAGAAAAGGCATCCTCTGTGACATGAGACCACTAATTTTAATCTTCCCACTCCAAACGAGAATGACAATGGAATACTAATACATGGCAATAAATTCACTCTAAAAGATAAATGTATCTCAGTAGTTTTTTATTGCTTTTGATTGAGAAAAGAACTCAAAATTGTATTCTTTTCTGTCAGTTTATATTCCCTACAATCTAGGAAGTGTCAACATCTATATTAAGTAACATGAGCACCCCATGGAGTTTTGTACACCTAAAGGGCAATGAAAATGAGGATACCATTTAAGGCGGTTTTACCAAAGCAAATTCAACAGTTGGAAAATGCAAATTTAAACAAATCCACAAATTGAAGGGAGTTAGAACAAGTGGAGAACTGGACAATAAGTGAGACAGCAAGCCAATAAGCCAATACCACCAGTCCAATTGGTGGTTCTTCAACATAATTCATGTTTAAAGCATGTAGAG